TCCTCTACCTCTGCTATTGTTCCTTAACCATGCTCTATTAAAGAAGCATTGCAAACTTGAATGGTAAGAAACAATTAAGAATGAGTTCACAGCTTTACTAAAAAACAATACCTGGTCTTTAATGCCTCCTACTGGTGATATGAATATTGTAGGAAACAAATGAGCATTCAGAATTAAGTACAACTAAGATGGATCTCTTCAAAAGTACAAGGCTTAGTTGGTTGCAAAAGGGTTTCAACAAACCCCAAGGCTTGATTACTTTGAGACATTCAGCATTGTGATTAAACCTTCCACCATCAGGATAGTTCTTACTTTAGCAATCACCAATGGGTGGGATATTCAGCAAATAGACATCAACAATTCTTTTCTAAATGGTACTCTAAATGTGACTATATTCATGAAACAACCTGAAAGTTTTGAGCATTCTGAGTACCTTGGTTTTGTGTGCAAATTGGAAAAAAACCTTATATGGGCTCAAACAAGCACCTAGGGCTTGGTTTGACAAGTTAAAGCAAGCTTTACTTGGTAAAGGTTTTCAGAATTCAGTGGCAGATTCTAGCTTGTTTATTTTCCAAGAGGGTGATCAAATGATCTGCCTTCTCATCTATGTATATGATATCTTAATAACTGGAGGTAAAAAGACTTTTATTCATACTTTGATCCAGGATCTTAATGCTCAATTTTCTCTTAAAACTCTTGGATCAGTTCACTACTTTCTCGTTATAGAGGCCACCAAAACTGATCAAGGCATGCATCTCAAACAAACTAAGTACATTCTTGATATGTTGGTTAAAACAAGAATGGTAGATGCGTCCAACACCCTTGGCAGTAGGCACTAAGTTGTTCTCAAGAGATAGTGAATGCCTTAAAAATCCAACTCTCTATAGGAGCACAGTGGGGGCCTTGCAATATCTCACACTTACTATGCCATATATCAGTTTTATTGTTAATAAATCAAGTCAATATTTGTAGGCTCCTACCGAAATCCAATGGCAAGCATGCAAAAAGGTTCTTAGATATCTCAAAAGCACTCAGAATCATGGCATTCGGTTTAGACCAATAGCATCTTTGAATATTGAATGTCATGCTGATGCTAATTAGGGCAACAATCTTGATGATAGAAGATCAACTAGTGGGTATTGTATTTTCTTGGGTCCCAATCTGATTCAATAGAGGTCTATGAAGCAAAAGGTTGTTGCTTTGTCCTCTACCGAGGCTAAATATAGGGCCCTAGCTCATACAACAACTAAAGTTGCCCGATTAAAGAATATTTTTTTCAAAATTAGGCCTACTTTTTCGTCAAGCACCTGTCATATGGTGTGATAATCTTAATGCAGGGGCTCTGGCTGCTAATCCTGTGTTTCATGCTAGGACTAAGCACATTGAGATTGATGCTCATTACATAAAAGATTAAGTCTTGGCCAAGCAGCTTTTGGTTCAGTATGTGCCTACAAAATTACAAATTGCTGATATATTAACCAAAGCATTTTCTACAGCTCAGTTTCAAGAATTGAAGGAGAAATTTAATGTTGTTCATTTGCCCTGTTCCAGCTAAATGCACTTCTGATATGATCCTTCAGTTTATAATTCTTTGTGTCTTGATTACCTCAGCATGAAAATTAAATACTTCATGAAGGTTAATATAGCTCAATGTGTGAAGCTACTCTGTCTTCTGTGATTTTAGCTCAATGTGTGAAGCTACACTGTCTGCTGTAATTTTTTGTATTCTTCTCTGTATCAATTGCGGCCACTTGCAGATGAGAAATGCTACTATTTCTTTGTGAAGAAAAATTAAGTTCATACAGCTGGAGACTTTGCCAATATTAAATTCTTGTGCAGAAAATCTTACACTGCCTAAACAACTGAGTTGGTTGTTTCTTTGAGGACCTGCATTGGTTTGCTAAGTGCAGCACACTGGTTTATTAGTGTTACCAAATGGGGTGTTTCCTTGAGGACTTGCATTGTTTTGTTCTTGTAGCTCGGATGATGTTTAGTACATTGGTTTGTTCTTGCATTGGCTTTTCTTTTTTGTAGAATTTATTATTCTTTGTGTCAGAAATCAACAAAATGCCAGGACCCCAAATTGAAGAGTCCAGTTTGAGTGGGCGTGTGGATCAAAGCTGAGAATTTTCAACCCAAAATTGGGGAGTTCAGTTTGAGTAGGCATGTGAATCCAAGTGTCAGAAATCAACATATAAGGGTCTGTTTGAGAATCAACCGGGGAGCTTAGTTTGAGTGGGTATGTGGATCAAAGTGTCAGAAATCAACATATAAAGGTCTGTTTAATAGTTAATCAAATGATTTCGTTTTGATAATACTTAAATGTGTAAGAATCAGCTTTCTATTTTCACCAAGTGTTGCTACTGAGTTCAGTGTCTTTGTAAGCTTAAAACAGTAGCATCTTCTGTAATCACTCATTCAATCAATCAAGATGTGTAAAAATCATTTTTTCTTTCTATTTTTCTTCAAACAAATTCTCTCCAATTTGCAAAGTTCACAGGTAACACTGCTGTATTCTAGATTTTCTCATATAGAAGTTGCCTTTAGAACATATGACAATTAAACTATTTTTCGGTTTTTCATCATTATGCATGAAATTAAAGTAAATTATACTCTAGAAACTTATTATAGGGGTAAAGTATGTCAGACGAGAAATTCTATCCCCAACTAATCCTCAATCATTTCTCATTCAAGAAGATTTTACATATATATATATATTATTTATTTATTTATTTATTTATTTTTCTTTACACACTTCAATTGCTTCATTCTTAAAATTTTAAGTCATTCAAATTGGTCATCTCTAGAATAGTTAACATAATTAGCTATTATTATTATTATTAATGTTATACATTCAAAGTTAGGATTCTAGCTATGTATTCCAAATAATGTGATTATTTATGTGTCACTACAACATTAATTATAGGATTATGGAATAACTAAGCAATTTCCCTATAATTAATGTAATACTGACAAATAAGTTACCACATTACTTGGAATACAAAGTTGGAATTTGATAGGCCACGACTTTGCATGGACGCAGAAGACGTTGTGATCAGTTAAAGAGTTTCAAGCCCCACGTTTATCTTTCTGCTGCATGTTATTTCCAGTATGCTCTGTGTTTAAGAGTATTGGCATGCTCTGTTTTACGTGTGTTTGAGTGCAGTTGTTAGTTTCTAGTTTTCCTTTTGTTTCGGTTTGCTTGTACGTGGGTTGTTAAGTTGTTTTTCTATTTAAGCAGCCACCAGTTGGTAATGAAGAGAAAAAAGGTAATCATTTGTTATCCAAACCTTGACGTACTTTCTCACCCGAAGAGAAAACAGTTCACTTATTTGTTTGAATATTTGTTGGGACCTATCATTGGTATCAGAGCACTTGGAGATTGAGGCTTTTTATGGGAACCAACAAGGAGCAGATTGAGCACTTGGAGTCCAGACTCGGTGCAGTTCAGGAGGTACTACAGCGAATGGAGATTGGTATGAACGACAAACTCCACCATTTGGAGGAAGCTCTCAATCGAATTTTGAACATGTTACCCGCTAATCCGAAGTCCTGAAATCATGGCAATCACCACCGAGAAAACCAAGATGGAGGTCGGCAGATTGTCTCATCCAAATCAGCCAAGCTAGAATTTCCACGCTTCTTTGGAGACGATCCAACGGAGTGGTTCAATCGGGTGGAACAATTCTTCGAATACCAAGGCACGACAGCGAACCGAAAGGTTCCCATGGCTGCTTACCACCTTGAAGGGGAGGCCAACCAATGGTGGCAGTGGCTTCGTAGGACATTACAGGAAGAAGGACACATAATTTTATGGGAAAAGTTCGAAGAGGAATTATGGGCTCGCTTCGGACCATCAGGATGTGAAGATTTTGATGAAGCTCTTTCGAGAATCATGCAGACAGGCTCTCTACATGATTACCAGCGAGAATTTGAACGATTGGGCAATCGGGTACGAGGATGGACGCAAAAGGCTCTGGTTGGGACATTCATGGGTGGCTTGAACGCTGAAATTGCCGATGGGATTAGAATGTTTAAACCGCAATCCCTCAAGGATGCCATTAACTTGGCACGGATGAGAGACGATCAACTCACATGACAGTGGGAGTTCTTACAACCACCCCCACCTGCACGAGCTCCTCTAGCTCTTCCACCAGCAGCTCGTGTAGCTCCCACAGCACTTGCTGATCCGATCAGGCGATTATCATGGGAGGAAATGCAGAGGAAGAGAGCACAAGGTCTTTGTTTCAACTGCAATGAACGATTTACAACAGGCCACAAATGTCAAAAACCGCAGCTATTACTCTTGGAGGGGCATGCAGGTAACGTAATATGTGAGGAAATCACTGATCAACAGACATTGGTGGCTGACCAAGGTGGAGGTGAAGTGGAATAAATTTTAGTGTAATGGAATGGAAATATCTTCTAGCCCAGGAGGCAACGTGGGAGCCAAAAAAAAAAAAAAAAAAGCTAGGGGAGATGTTTCCAAATATGGACCTTGAGGACAAGGATTCACTTGATGGGGAAGGTATTGATAGGCCACGACTTTGCATGGACGCAGAAGACATTGTGATCAGTTAGAGAGTTTCAAGCCCCACGTTTATCTTTCTGTTGCATGTTATTTCCAGTATTCTCTGTGTTTAAGTGTATTGGCATGCTCTGTTTTACGTGTGTTTGAGTGCAGTTGTTAGTTTCTAGTTTTCTTTTTGTTTCGGTTTGCTTGTACGTGGGTTGTTAAGTTGTTTTGCTATTTAAGCAGCCACCAGTCGGTAATGAAGAGAAAAAAAGTAATCATTTGTTATCCAAACCTTGCGGTACTTTCTCACCCGAAGAGAAAACAGTTCACTTATTTGTTTGAATATTTGTTGGGACCTATCAGAATTCCAACTTTATATATGTAACACCATTGTTTTTTCATAGGTTAAATTTATAACATCTAGGCTTTATAGTTGGAGTACAAAGTTCGAACTAATGCCTCGTTAAGAACTCACAGACGCTAAACAGAAGAAATTAAAAGATCAGACAATTAGATTACCACTCCTAACTGGGACCCCCTAACAACACTACTCTAAACAAAACAAAGTTATTAACTGTAACAATACATAACAACGTCTGAGTTTACTTTCATCTTTGTTGCTGAAGTCAATACCCGAACCTTTTTACCCTTGTAAGGTGAACTTCTCTGAGCAGAAACAAAATCACGAGGCAAGGATCATGTAAGGTGCGTTCTTGACTTCTTCTCTTAATCAACTTTCGGAAGCAAACACCAAATTCTTGCTTGTTTCCTTTCTTCCCTACTTTTGTTTTGGCTGCAACACAATATAAAAACGTCAGAAAAAACATAAAACGGATCCTATTATAAGTTATCTCCCTATAGAAAGTATGAAAATGATGCAATGAAATAGCTGATAATTAATCAATTTGTAGATCACTTTACTCACCGCATGTTAGATTTATTGTGCATTCTCACACATCACTGCCGCCTTGATCCTTTCAACTGTGCATTTTATTAGACTGTTTACTGTTGCCACCGATCCAAGAGAGAGTTTTGCAGTTGGAACTGAATCAACTAAGATCTGAAATGCAACTGTAAGAAGAGAACCACCGGAACCAACATCAAGAATTCCTCCTCCTCCACCAAGTGCTCCTGGACCATCAGGAAGTATAGCAAAACCTGATGGCAGAAGAGCAACATAATCTGGGTCGTCACCGCTTAAGACCATATTCATAGCACCTATATCAACTGGAGCATAAATCACATATGACCCTGTAGAATCAGTGCAGCTCTCTTGTAGTACTAGCATGTTGGTCTGGCTTGAATTTGTACTCTGCATTTCATTTCACATATAGAAATTTAATGGTTTAAGTAGCAAGCTACAGTTGTTGAGACATGTTTTTAAGCTAAATCTGAAGCAACTTACATTCACGCGCAATAAAGAAACACAGTTTCCTGGGTCACGTCCATTTGCAATGTGAGCCATTTCTTGAGCTAGACCACCATTCGAGAGGATATCCCACTGCAAATTGAGGATAAAATATTTAACTTAGTAGAACAAGAATGACAAAGAACTAAATGGTCCAAATTTATCATCCAAAACAGGATGAAAAAAAAAAGAAGCAAGAACTCTGTGATAAATAATGAAATCAAGAGTAAATGTTAAATCAGAAAATTTCAGTGCAAACTCTTTTCCTCGAGATATTACCATATAGAAAACTACAGTCCATTTCTTAATTCTTATATTTTACCTCACTTCGAGAGTTCTCGTCGCGAAGGAAATCAAAGACCCTCTTTGGTGGAACTGAAATCCAGAAGGAAGTTGCAGCGCTAAGAACAATACCGGGAGGCCTGCCCGGATCATCCATACTCTTCCTGGTCATGACCCTAACATCATCAGAACCTGTTGTTGATAACGTTGTCCAAGCGTGTGCAGTAGAAGCACCAACACCGGTACAAAAACTAGTCACCATTCTTTCTGCCAACTTCAACATACTCTTCCTCCCTTCTGGGCTTGTTATCACTGCACAAGAAATTTGAAGGCTTCAAGTGAATTTCATCTTTATTAATCCTTGTCAGGTAAGTTCAGAAATAGAAAAGAATAAAATGTTTTACCGCAAAGATCCCCTGCTGGAATATTACTAGCCATTGTACTTGCTAAACGCTCGCATTGTCGCTCTAATGTAGCCACCCAACGTTTTGCTCCAAAAGCAAGGCCACAATTAACTAGAGGTCTGTAGATATTGTGAACAGATCTATCATCCACTTCAACATGTTCAACCCATATGACCTAAAGAGTCATCAATCAAATCATGTCACAATTGAAACTGAGATTCATTATAAGCAGATATCAATAAATTAAGTAGGAATAGGCACCTTTGAGTAACCATTTGGCAATTCTTGAATTAAACATCCTGATGGCCTTCTTCGACACTTGGATATCGCAGTAGGGCGTAAATTGTCTAAGGAAACATCAATCACTGCCCATGTACCATCAGGATGCTGTTTACAATACCTTACAAAGTAATTTTCACGAGTTGGCACCAGAGGTGATGGGACCTGGAACTCAGCCGTCATCTAAACGAAAATTTACCCAAAAAAAAAAAAAAAAAAGGGGTGTTTAGGTCTGCTTAACAAGTTAATTGCCCTGATTGCATCTTGAATCTAGGCATTACTAAAAATAAATTATTATTGACTCAATTATATGTCTCTCATGACAGTGCTAACGAAACCTCTAATCGGGTTAATAAGTACATCAAATAACACTGAAAAGAGAAAGGCAGAAACCCATTGTCTTAATTAAGTACCACTTGCAAGGCTCCATTGTAGTTTCCTGCTACTCCAGTTGACAAGACTTCTAGAGTCATAGCTCTCGAGACAATACCGCAAAACACACTTGACCATTTATTCTGAAACCATTTAATCAAAAGAGATAAATATGGGTTAGATCTCGACATTTATATAACAAAACCAAACTTTGAGGAGAGAAACTTGCCACATCCATGAGAATCTCAACAAGATTAACATGATTCATAATGACAACTGCAGATTCCCTTGAAGCTTCTGATCTTAACCCCAAAGGTTTTGGACCAATTCCCCTAGGGAATGTTCTCAGGTACTCATCTTCGTGTATAATCTCCGTAGAGTTTTCACCAGGAACCCACAAGGGTTCTCCAGCCTGAGCCATTCTCATTAGTTCTTCCATTGCTGCAACGGCTAGCTCAACAATCATTGGCTTATCTGCCTCCGCAGGCCCAGATATTGACCTTAGAAGGTGATCACCACTCCCATACATCTCCCCTACATAGCCTGATTGGGTCCCGAGATTGCTAAACCCAAGATCAAGAGAACGGGAAGGTAAATGAGGAGAAATGTGAGAAAAAGAAGTCAAGGGCTTTCCAACATATTTGGCAGCAATCCCAGATATCCTATCAATCTGCAAGCAAACAACACTTCAATTACTTTTGAACTAAATATATGATAGATAATAGTTGATTAACTTGTTCCCTTTTCAATCACCTCTTCTCTTAAACGAGCATTCTCAATTCTCAAATGCTGCTCATCAAAGGACATCTCACCGAGAGCGGCAGGGCCTCCACAGTTGGGGCAAGTGGCATTACCAAGGGCTTCCTTGTACCTATTGTTCTCAGCTCGAAGTTTTTCATTCTCAGCCTTCAAAATTTGATTCTCGTGGCGTTCATGTTGGGCCTGTGATAGAAGCAGCAAACAAGTATTGCGAAAAATAAGCTAACTACATACAAAAAGTCTCCCGAGAACGTGAAAATTGTACATGACCGGATAAGGAAAGTCAATGGAATGTTTTTACACATGAAAATCGTTTTGGAAAAAAGTCTAGAACGTTTGAAAATCAATATATTTTGCAGATACGTTACCTTCATTTGAGTGCGCTTGTTTTGGAACCAAAATTTGACCTGTAAAGGCTCTAGACCTAGCTCGCGGCTCAATTCCTTCCTTTGCTTGTCATCGGGGTGAGGGCACTCCTTGAAGAAACTGAAAAACGAAAAAAGACCTTTCATTGATCAAATTACTCTGTCACGCGTACTCAAGCGTGTACAATAAGGAGATAATATTGATACTTACGTTTCCATTTCCTGTATTTGACGCTGAGTGTGGCGATGGTAACGCTTCTTTTTAGCTCGTTGAGTTGGATCTTGATCATCACCAGAGGGAACGTCCATCATGTCGGTACCAGATTTAGTCTCGTAATCATCGTCTTTGAGCTTCTCCAAATCACTTTCAGAGCTTTTTGTCGTCATATCGAACATATGGGGACTCTCAAACATGTTTGGCTGAAACATGTCTACCAATTCCTAAAACATATAACGCTACAAACTCTTGATATGTAAACACAATAAAGAAGACTAAGCACCTAACATATGCAACATTAGTGGAAGGCAATAAACAAATAAAAAGATGTACTACTTGAAGATATTTAGAAGAAAACTTGTTTGAGGGTATTTACTTATTCAAGTATAAGAGACTTTTTGACCATATTTTCTACAACTCACTTTTTCTTCAAAAGAAAACTGAAAGGTTTCTCATTCTATCAATATTTTTGTATACATGAATGAACCCAAAAACCAATCTAATTGATTCTGATTACTTGCAGATATAGATGGATGTGTGAAAAAGGAAAATAATAACAGGCCCACATAGAAATGATGTATTTACCCAAAATAGTGATTAAAGATGTAATCAAAATAATACTAAAAAATCCATAGGAATCGATAAATGTCAGGAAGAGGCGAGTATAAGAAGAACAGAAGGGCAAAAGAAAGGTTCAAAAAGGGATGGAAAACAAAGGAAATAATTAAAAACAACCGCAAAGGTTATTAGAGATTCATTTATTTTCCTTGAACTAGCTGAAGCATTTTCATTCACCCTCAAACCCTAGTCAGAAGACATCTCTATCTCTCTTCCTTTTATTTAGGTTTTGTGGATAGTTACTTAAGATTGATGCCCTTGGGGTTTGCTTTAATAGATTCTCTGATTTTCACTGAGCAAGTTATTGAGAATTTTTACAAGTTGCTAAGTAGCAGAAAAGACTAAGGTTTTGGTCTATCAAAAAAAGTCGAAAGTGTTTTAAGTGTTTTAACTCCTACCGTCCTACGTGCCAAAAGACCGGATATAGAAATGTACCAGCAAGAGTTGACACTACGAAAACCCCTTTGACGCACAAATTTCAACTTCAATAACAAAGATCATAACGCCCACTAAGATCCCGCTGTATCCCACCTCCACCTCTCTCTCTCTCTCTCTCTCTCTCTCTCTCTCAGCCAAATAATAACGTAAAGTCTTCCTTAAAAACACAAGCTAAAAGATAGAGATTACAGAATACTGTTGTAGCATTCATCGATAAGACAATATAATAGAGGTTTTCAAAACCACATCCTCGGGTAAAAATATAATAAAAGATTTAAGGGTTTTTTCATAAACTTACTAACATAGAAGCTTCGAAGTTAAAGACCAATCACCCTTTCGATTTTTTGAGGAAACCGCTCAAACAGATAATGATATTAATGAATCTAATATCTATTCCACGTTTATGCGACCAGAAAACCACTGTATTATAGTACTGAGAAAGTATTTAGAGGTGGTTGAATAGAGAGGGGGAATACAAGCTAGTAAGAAAAAGAGACGGGAGGACGGAAAAGAGAAGATAAAATCGAAAGAGAAAGAGAATGAAAGCTTTGAAGAGAGTGAGAAAGGGAAGATGGAAAGGAACAGGTGTAGAGGATGTGGCAGGAAGGGAGTTATTGCAGAGCGTATTGAGAGGATGTAATAGCATTTATGGCGGGTGAGAGGTGTAATTGCAAGGGAAGAGAGAGAGAGAGAGAGAGAGAGAGAGAGAGAGAGAGAAAGCATTTTATTGTTTAAAATTTTCTTTCTCTAAATTTTATGGTGAGATGAATTATCATCATCAGTAGTATTCACACACTTCTAAGTTTCAACTCTTTCGCTGTTTCTCTGTCAATATTGTATATATTTTGTACGTAATGCTCGCAAATATACCTTAACCCATGTAATTTATATCTATATTGATGCCTGCAGCAAGAAATTTAATTGTTATTGCTGTGCGTATTGAGAGACTGCATATATATTATTTATGGCGGGTAAGAGGTGTAATTGCAAAGGTGGTTTACATTTAACCATTTCTATTTTAGTTGGATATATTTAATAAAATTAATTACTGCTTCCACACCAGTACTGTGCTGGAAAATTACTTTTTAGGAGGTGCAACATTAATATCATGCAAACAATATCAAAATATAATATATGGTTGCAAAAAGAATAATATTATAAATACAAAGTTTTCTGACCGCTGGATGAATATAAAGTGATATGGCACTCTTATTTAATGATATATTAATTCATTAGTTGATTTTTTATATTCATTCTAAAATTTATATTTTGCCGCACCAATTTGCATATACATTTTTGTATGAGGGCATTTTAAGTGCAATATTGTTCTTGCAAAAAAATTAGAACAAAACATAACATTTAATTACATTTAATATAATTATGTTTATCCTAGATTTCTTTTTATGTTTTCATTGTGTTATAAGAACCTTTTTTTTTTACGGAAATTAATAATTAAATCATAACTTTGTTAATTATATATATAACCTCTTTATAGTCATAATAGTATGATCAAACAAATTTATTACTATGAGGAGGTTATAATTTAATGTCAAACTAGTCGTCACAACTACAAAATTAACCTAAGTACCGTAATTGGTGATAAGTTGGGTCAAATCCACATGGAGCAATTACTATTAAGCTAAGGTATGATTGAGTAAATGAAAGTAAAAATGGCAAGTTTTAATCAACTAGTATCCTAAGAAAATAATTGCAAGAAATCTAGTTACTAACTAAAACACAATATTAAAGTTGTTGTCCTATGGCTTCGACTCAACTTAGGATTGGCCACAATTCTTCTTCTCACTCCTAGATTTCCTAAACCTACAAAGCTAGGCAAATCACATTTACAAGTCTCTCCACAACCTAAGTATAATCTATCATGTCTCCCTGTTATCTTAGTTACAGGTTGATTGGTTAAAGACTATCTTCAATTAACAAAGAGACCCAAACAATTAAAACCACTAATTGGTACAAAGAGAATAAACACAATCCATAATCCCTATAATACAATCACAAATTTATCACACTTGAATGAAATCATAGTAGAAATATTACTAGATGATGATATATAGCAAGATTGTAATCAGTATCAAAACAATTGGAAACCACAACATTCAACATGCAATGAATTTGATTTCACAATGAACACAAATCCAACAAAGCGTTTCATAATTCAAATCATGCGTCATACTATAACCGTATCAAAACAAAGCAATCCTCAAATCACAATGCACAACAATTGAATCATATGTTCAATGTCTAATTAATAATCCAATTAGTCAAGAGTTTAAGTAAATAAAACTATAGCTTGAATCTTGGTCTCGTCTCTGCCTAATGGGCAACTGGTACTCAACCGCTCATGGTGGTGTCGACGGAGGCTAGCGAAGGTGAATGGTTGCTGCCCATGATGGAAAACGAGTCCCCAATAGCTATAGTTTTCATTTTTTGGATGAGGGAGAACCAAGGTGAGATGGGAAGTCGAACGGTCAGCTAAAGACAAAGAGACACGTTGACGGTGGCGGATTCCGATAATGGTTCACTACAGCGGGTGTTGAAAGGCGACGAAAATGCACGAGAATGCTAAGGGAAGGATGGCTGGCACCTGGGAAGTTGAATTGACACCAAAGAAGACAAAATGTCACTAAAAAAAATGAAGAATCGCTGCTGGAAAGTGGAACGTCGCAATGGCGCAAAACGATGATATGAGACGTCGATCGACAGCTCTTGATAATGGGAAGAAGAAGTCGAAACTTGGGGAAGTTGAAATGATGTCGGAGAAGACGAAATGTCACCAAAAAAATGAAGAATCGTGATGGCACAAATGGTGATGAATGGCGACGACGACGGATATTCAAGGAGATAATGGAGATGACGGAAGTGATGGCCGATCGGAGTTTCAGAAAATGAAGGGTCGTTAGAGATGGCCAGAGTCTGGTGGAGATGAGTAAGGGTTTGGGTGATGGGCGGCTAGCTCTTTTGACCATTATTCACTTTCCTTTTATGGAAAATTTGGCAAATTTCATTTTAGTCCCTGCACATTTAAAAAGTGACAAAATCAACCCCTTGGAAACATGACATTTTATCCCTTAATAAACATAAATGAGACAAAATCAACCCTAATCCATAAAGCACAACTTAATATCAACTCACACCATTTCCAAAATCATTCTAAACATGTAAAATTCGTAAGAAAACATTAGAATGAGCTTTTTCATTAATAAATTCATAAATTCACAAATTGTCTCAATATATATTCAATTAAAACATAACAAGGGTATTAAATCACTTTAATGGAGTCATTTTCATGACTCTAACACTTAATAAAGTTGTAGTTACAAAAATTATTATTTTAACTTAGTTATCCTTAGTACAAGTAGTATAGAGGTAAAGTATGCACTAATCAAATAGATATTAATGTCTTCCTCAATCATCCAAATGAGCGAGCAATAAGTTGTGTATATTTTAACTAAAGAAGAAATCATCGCTGCAGTTAGACAAGAAGAGGAAGGAGATAATCTTGACAATGATAGTATGGAAATACAAAAAGTTTTGTGCCAAGAAGCTCTAAACATGCTTCAGAACTTAAAAATATTTTGGCTTCAATAAGAATATGTCTATGCTAGCAAGTTATTGCATACCCACAAGTTCAAAAATACATTAACAACTCTAAAGCATAAATCATTGTCCCAAACAACTTTAGATAAATATTTTATTTTATCTAAAACCTTTAATGTAACATAACATATATCTTTTTGCAATATACAGATAATTATAACTATGTGGAGGTAAGTTACTTAAGACAGGACCTAGAAAAATTATAACTTGCACAAGTTGGGACCTAAATTTTTTATGACTACATGAAGGTTATTCCTATATAGAGTATGAAACGATTTCAGTTGTAATGAAGAAAAGCTCAAGCTAAGAAGTTAAAAAAAAAAGAAAAATTAGTAGAGTGAGAGCAAAGAGAAATTGAGGATTTTCATTAATTGAAATAGTCAACGCACCTAACTGTTTTATATTCGTTACAAACTAAATGCTACATTTTGCATTTCATCCCAAGACTTTACAAACTAACCCCATATTGACTTTGAACAATTATAAAAACACACTCCAAGATTCTTTACTGAACTTCATCTAATATCTCCTCTTAAGCTAGACCTACTTTTCTTGAATTTATTCTCAATATCTTCCCTTAAGCTAGACCATCTTATTTTGCCTTTATCTCAATATCTTCTCGTAAACTGGACCATCTTGATTTGTCTTCATCTCAATAGCAGTCTCTTTATTAAAAATGTCTTCCTCTTTGTAGAGTTCAGTGAGTTCAATTGTACTTTTATACTCTTACCACCAATACTCTTAAGAATACACTACTTCGTATTACCATTACACTTCTTACATAATAGTACACTACTTCCATTATCCGTAGACAACTAATTCCCTTAGCACCAATATCCTTGCCCTTAAGAATACCTCAACAGGACTTACTGAGGTAATACAGATACAACATTCAATTTCTCCCTCAGCAAACTAAACTTGTTACCAGATAAAGACTTCGTTAGAATGCCTGCTTTCTAATACTCTGAAGCAACATATTGGACAACTAGGCTCTTCCCTACAACTAGTTCTCTCACATAGTGAACATCTATTTTATGTGTTTAGTTTGGGCATGGAATACAGGATTAGAGGATAATGCCCCTGCATTCATATTATCGCACCAAATTACTGGAGTATGCTTGATTTCAATGCCCAATTCTTTAAACAAATGTTATACCCAGACCATTTTAGTTGCAGCCTGACTTAAGGCCCTATACTCAACTTCAGAAGATGGCAAAAATACTAGTTTTTGCTTCTTTGAACTCCATTGAACCAAGTTGTCACCATGGAGAATAGCATAGCCACTTGTGGACCTTCTACCATTAATATCACTTGCCCAATCGACATCAGCATATGCTTCAAGCTGAAAATGTGGATGTCTTTGATGAAGGGTTCCTTTGACATACCTCAAAACCCTCTTACATGTTGTCCAATGGACTATAGTTGGACTTTGTAAAAACTAACTTAGCTTGTTGGCTATGAAAACTATGTTAGGTCTGGATAATGTCAAGTATTGGAGCCCACCAATGATGCTTCGATAAAGAGTATGTTGCTCAAAAAAACTCACCATCTTCTTTCCCAAGATTAGTTCCAGTTGCCATGGGAGTAATACAAGGTTTTTAATCTTCCATTCTAGCTTCTTGCAACACTTAAGCATACTTGGTCTGAGTAAGAAGTAGACCAGAATCATTCCACTTCACTTCAAAGCCTAGGAAATAATGGATTGTCCCTATGATTTTAAGAGCAAATTGACTATTTAGG